GAGGATTCAGAGAAAGACTTTCTTTTCTTCATTTTCTATAATTTCTACTGTGATAATCTATTTGTGTATTTGATAATAGAATTTCAGCTTCCTTTCTCTTTCTCTTTTCCTCCCTCCCTCCCTCCCTCCCTCCCTCCCTTCCTCTCTCCCTCCCTTCCTCTCTCCCTCCCTTCCTCCCTTCCTTTTTAAGGCAGAGTCTCATGTAGCTCAGGATGGCTTCTGAATTCATTATGAGGCTGGCTGAACTCTTGATCTTCCTGTTTCTGCCTCCCAAATGCTGGGATTATAGATATGCACTCCTACACCTGGTTATTTCTGTAATAGTTTTTGATTGAAAAGTTAAAATAAAAGTTTCTGTATTGTTTATACCCATTTTCCTTATTAATGTCCTACATTATTCTGAGACATTTGTCACTATAAAGAATTAATTTTGATACATTATGATAAACTGAAATCTAAACTTTGTTCCTATCTTTCTCCCTTTTCACACCTTCATTTCTCCTTCCTTCCCTTATTCTTTTTATTAATTTTTCTTTCTATCTATAAAGTAAAATTTTTATTTTAAAGCAGAATCACCTAACACTTGTGATCTCCCTACCTCAGCTCACCAAGCTCTGCCACCGTGGGCCACCATGCCCCTCTCATTCTTCATTGTAAGCCTATTGTTTTGACTTTTCAGCCCCGAAATACCACGTTCCATTTAGTGTTCACATCCCTTTGCGTTCCTCTAGTCTTGTCTGTGATATTTTCTGTTTCCTTTTCGTGGATGATGACCTTGACAGTTTTGAGGGTTTTGAACCGAGTTTTGTGTACCAGTTGGTTGAGATTTGCTTTGTGTCTCTCTCACAGTGAGAAGTTATGCATTTTTTGATGGAAAGTCACAAAGGTAACGTGCCATCTTGACTGATTATACCAAGGATACACGGCAACATCATGGTTTATTACTGTTGGTGTTCTCCTTGGTGATCTGGCTGAGGTAGAGGTTTGCCGTGTTTTGGTAAATCCCCTCCCTCCTTTCCTCTCCATATTGTTCTCATTAGAAGAAAGCTACCATACTGAGCCAATGGAAATTTGTTTGTTATTTACCTCATTGCCCAAGGTGGGTATCTCTGAGAGCTATTTTCTCTTCTCTGCTGGTTATTCAGGGCACAGCATTCTTCCATTCCATTGCTCCAGCATCCCCCAGGGCTTAGCCATCTTAATCCAGAGAGAACATGGAAGAGAATGTTTGCTTTTGAAAGCCTTGGCCTGAAAATGGTACATATCACTTCCACTCACATTCCATATGACACTCTTTCATCTGCCAAACCTAATTGCAAGGGAGGCTAGGACATATGGTCGAGCTGGGTGCCCAGGAAAAGGAGGAAATGGATTTGAGGGAAATGCTTGCAGTATTACCACTTCTCTTTAGAGCATAAAACGTAGCAAACTAACTCCTCCACCACCATCAAATAATTTGGCCACCAGTTCACTAGAAAATAGAAAAAAAATAGAATAAAATGCTTCTCAATCTAAAAGTTGTTTAAATCATAAAGAATCTAATAAAATTTATTTAGATGTCTCATTGAATTGCACTATTTTATTACATTTACTCTTGATCTGTAAACACTTGTAGGACACACTAACTAGCATGTCAGCATTTGAAAACTTACACTCCATGTTGTCTCTGTACCAGACTCACTGGCAGAGTCTGCTTGCTGTGCTTTCTCTTTGGAATGCCTCTGTTTATCCTTTGGTTTTGTTATTTGTTTTGTCTTTTCAGATGAACTTCTATTCATAGGCTGTGGAGATGGCTCAGCCCCAGAGCCTGAGTAGAAAATGCTGAGTGTGGTAGCATGCACTCACAGTCTCAGCACTGGAGAGGTAGACACAGGTGGATTCCCTGAGCTCATAAGCTGGCTAGCCTAGCCTGCTTAGCAGGGCCTGTGAGAGTCCCTGTCTCAAGAAAAGGTGGAGGCAGGTAGTGCCTGACAAACAATACTTGTCCTCTGGCCTCCTTACTACTGTCTGTCTGTTTTCTGTCTATCTATCTATCTATCTATCTATCTATCTATCTATCTATCTATCTATCTATCTATCTATCTCCTCCCCACCACATGCTTCCATACATGTGAAAATACGTTCACATATATACACATGCATTCCTATGCATAGGAATACACATATACTTGGGGGAGAGGATCTTGCTCATTCCTTATGTGGCAGTGGTATCTTTGTCTAATGTAGATAGAATTAGTCCTTGCTTCTGGGGGGCATCATGCCATGTTGATTAACTCATTTAGTGGCTCCTCCCTTGACACTAGTATAATTTATGTTTCTTTCATTAGCCTAGGTGTTTCCTGAGGATAGCACAGGCTTTTTTTTTTTTTCTCTCCAATCTCTTAGCAGAGACTGACAAGGAACATGTATGTTTTTAATATGAACAGGATGTTTTATATGCCAAAGGTGGGCTTAGGTAGTTAGCATTTCTTTCAAATATAGCAAGATACTCCCCTCCTCAACACAGGTCCCTCACTCTATTGGCCAGCTTCTCTGGAAGGCCTACTTTTGGCAGGAGCCTAGAAAGGCTGGTAGGGATTGAGAGAACAGAATGGGGCACTGTTCTACAGTTGGGCTGCACAGCTCACAGTCGCTGGCCCTGGGCTCTGGGCATGCTCAGTAGATGTGTGGCCTCCTGAGAAATCTCTGTGGTGCAGGACATTCGTGTCTCTAGATCATCATGTAATTAAGACTCAGATCCACATCTGACTCCTCACTGCTCTTGGCACAGGGAGGTGGTGTAAAGGTCTAGTGCTCATTACTCTGAACAAGACTTACCAACCTGAATTCCCAAAGTCCCAACAGGGGGATAACTTCACCATGACAAAAAACAGTGTCTAATTGCAGGTGCAGAAGAGAAGCATGGGGAAAACAAACAATAATTTGCAGGCTTTAATGAGTAGGCTGCCATGCATCTCATTGCCAAAGAGGACAGGACTTCTTAAAGTGACCCGAAGCTTGCCAGAAAGACATGGCTTGTTGCTTTCTGTCTCTCTGTCTATTCTCAGGCTGCTCTTTGCATTGTTCCTTCACAAGTTCAATCAGTATTTTACCGCCACAGACCCAGGAGGCATGGGGTCTGCACTACGGCTTCCTTCATTTTCATAGTTGAAACTCTATGCACTAATTAGGATTTATAGATTTGTGTAGTCTTATAGTTCATACAGTTACCAACTTATTCATTTGAAGTTCTCAGTGGCTACAGTATGAGTAGAATTTTTTTTTTTTAAACCAGATGAGAAACCTGAGACTCGGCTGTTACATTGTTTGCTTGGCATACCACGAAAGCTGGGCCTCTCAGAGGGGTCTTATGTCTCCATGCATAGCTGGAGCTGAGTGGGCCATACCGGAAGTCTTGCCTCATTGCATTACCCAGCCATGCAGCCTCATTGAAGATGGACACAGTTGTTATGTAGCTGTATGTTTCTTCGACATAGCCATGGTATGCATGCCGGGTTCAGTGGGTCCATGGAGGACAAGTGTTGAGGACAAATCCTGTCACCACTAAGAGCAGAAGACTCTAATGTGACAAGAAGCAAATCGTAGAAGTGACCTAAGGCACACTTAGTTTAACTTCCGTATTGTATCCACGGGGAAATTTAGATCAACAAACTGAAAGCATTTAATTTAATTCAGGAGAATGTATTGTTATTAACCAGAATGCCTGGTTTCCAATTCATTTCTGTATTAATCACTTGTTGGTCATTTTCAATTTTCTTAGTATATCTTTTGTTTCTTAGAACACCTTTGATGCCACACGCATTACCTTATATTCCCAATTATGCTCACCAAGTCACACACTGGATTCCTGTTAGAACCAAACATCATTAAAGTGTTCAGTTTACCTGATGTTTTCCCAGAGAGGGAACAAAAAGTGAACTCCTAACTGGTATTGATTGAATAAACACAAAGGTTGAGGCCGACAGGGACACATTCAGAAATGGTCCTTCCACAGACATCATTCTTCATCTTTAACTTCAGACGAGAGCAGGCGTGTTCAGGGTGGTATAGCCATAGACCATCTTTAACTTCAGTTATGTTGTTTCCAGCCTTGCCTCAGTCTCTACCACCAGAGACCGCATTCTCTGTTTTTTTCTCTGTTTTATGAAATAATTAGAGCTGTAAATATTTTAAGATAATTTTCATCCAGCACTAGAGATGAAAGGCTGGCAATACTGGAGAAACCAGTCTGTTGCCATAGGCGCCACCGCAATGGAAAAGCTGTAAATATTTGTATCAGCTGATGTACAGAAATACACATGTGCTATACCAAGGAATGTGATGACTTAATTATATTAAATGTTTAAAAGTGAGGACCACTTATGGTTTACATTTTTTTTTAAAGAAATGCTTATTGCTTGAGGTTTTTGCTATTTTGCTTTGTACTAGAGACGTGAGTTTGGCTGGGCCTGTCTGTGGTGAAGGGTCAGTAATTGTGAGGGTCCCATTCTCTCATGGTTTTGCTCTCATTTGTAGTTCTTTTCAGATGAACTTGACCAGAATTTCAAAATCTAGGCACTGCTGACAGATACTTGACATCCAGAAATGAGAAGCCTTCCAGATCCCAATTATGACATCAGGAGACTTAGAGTATTGCTTCGTACTGCAGAAATGAGCTTTGCTGGACTATAACCACAAACTCTCGGGCATCTTTCAGGAAGGCGCTGTATGTTGAAGAAGGAGAACGAATTCACTTTTTAACATGTCTGGGGTTTCTAACCATAATTGGTTTTAATATTTACTAACACATGACATACTGTTTCAAAGTATTATGGTTCTGACCCGAGGAAGAAGAACAGCATAGTTATTACCCAGAAACAACCCCATTCCAAATGCTAATTTCAATATTTATGACACGGGCATTTATGCACTTACTTATAGAAGGTATTTTAACAACTTGCAAGTGTGCGTTTTTATAAACAAAATAAAAAAGCGAATAATTATTTCATCTTGTCTTGCAGAACCCCAGCTGAAAGGGATTGTGACAAGGTTATTCAGCCAGCAGGGATATTTCCTGCAGATGCATCCAGATGGTACCATTGATGGGACCAAGGACGAAAACAGCGACTACAGTAAGGAACACCAGCTACTTGCAATGCAGTGTAAATTGAATATGTGGTCCAGCAGCACAGCCACGGTGCTGCTTTGTGGATTATTTGATGATTAGGGAGCTAGTCTTCCCCCGTTATCCTTCTTGCAGCATTATTATCTCATTCTCTACAGAAAATAAAGCACTATATCAGAGGAGCTATGTATTCAATGAGAAGGTAGGATGCTGGAAAGTTTCCAGTAGTCATTAGAAGAAAATGTCTTCTCAATGGATTTTTTTTTTTTGGGTCAGGGAGCTAAACACTCATTGAAATAATACAGAACAGACCTTCCAGCATAAGGTAATATTTAAATCTTGGACCCAAGTGATGAACAAATTATAATTCTCAGAGAGTATATTGTTTGGTGGAAAACATTACTTCTACAGGCAAGTGCTGAACATGTATGTATATGTCCTTTCATTTTGGTTAAGGACAAAATTTGAATATCATCATGATGAATCACAGTATATATAATAGGAATGAGTTAATAAAGACTGGTAGCTCTAATATGGACTATTGGTGAAATTATTAAGGCCACTCCACGAAGTTAAAAGGGAGGTTTATTTAGTGGCATAACTTACAAATGAAGGGATAGGTAGGTTTCAGGGTCTGGGAAAGACATAGCGCAGTCCGGCAGTGTTCTCTGGAGAACTCTGGTCTACCTCCAGCATCCAGGGTCCAGGAACTAAGAGAGCCAGCGCATCCGGATCTCGGGTCTTCAGGGTCCTCTCTTGGCTCCACCTTGTAGGCATGACAGTTACCTAAGCCTCAATGGGGGTTGGAACTTCTAGATCAAAGCTGGAATGGCTACCCACTACAGTGGACTTTAAAAACAGATTTGAAATAAAAGTTGCAAATATTAAAGATTATTTAAAAAAAAAACAAAACTCCCAGAAATGGTTGTTAAGCATTAGAGTCGACAAGTTCAAGAAGGAAATACAGTTCATAAAGACACGAGAGAATGTATTTGTACTTTGGAAACAGCTAATACACATGCTTCAGAAGTGAGAATAACTGCTCTCATAATTTTCAAGTTCCCCACAATCATACAGGTGTCTCTGGGTAAATTCTTAGTGCTACAGTTACTCAGGGTGCCATATTGTTTTTATAATTTTGTCCATGTTTACTGCTAGATCTGTAGTGTTAGATGTACAAGGAATGGACCCGGTGTGGTGGGTGCATGAGTATAATTGAGCTTTAAAGAGAACATGTAGGAAGGGCAAAAGTTCAGCGTTATCTTAGGCTTTCTACTGCCTTTAAGGGCAGCCTGAGCTACATGAGGTTTTGCCTCAAAAGAGAAAGGGAAACAATCAGAGACACAGAGTCAATGTCCACAAAATACCCATCCAATGGTTTGTGATTCTGATGAAAGTGATTTTGTCAGACTGAAAGCCCCTCACGCTTCAAAAGGTAATTTAGGAAACCAGATATTTTATGGTGCTGTAACTCTTAAATTAACAATAGCGTTTGAGGCAAGATTTAAAATTCTTAAAGTATTGAGACTTTCCTGTCCACCTCTTTTGAATTTTCTTTGTTTACTTAATACTATACATCACAAAATATGAATTACGGTAAAGAAAAGATCTTGTTATGTAGAATCACATTCCACTTTTCTCTCAGTTTGTGGCCAAGTAGTTGATTGCTTTATTGTGGTTTGCACTGTTAATTTGTGTTTCTATGAATGCATTCTCTAAGTGGTTCAAGTTTTCAATTCAGGCGAGAAGAATGGAGAGCCCATACTCCCCGTATATGACTGTCATCCATTGCATCTGCGCCTGAATGTCTGATTAGGAGGGCCACACTTACAAACTGGAGCAGAGAACTACAGAGCTGTGTCGCTCATGTTAATTGTGAGCTATCGCTGGACCTCAGTTTCATGTTTTACACGCGAAGTGACTGGAGAGAATAATGGTAGCAGCGTTTCCTGTCAACAGCACCCACAGGGAGTTTTGTAAATGGAAAAATTAGTGGCACAATTTATACCACTCATCTCGAGCCCCTGGGCATAGGGAGGGAGTTAGAGGGAGTGACAGGACTCAGAGAGGTAGAGGAGTACTTCAAAATATTGTCTTCTGGATGAGAAGACCATGATAAACATGAACGCATAGCAGCCATGACCACAAGAGGGACACACCAAAAGGACAGAGAAGTAAGAGGGGGACCAGTTTGGAAGAAAAAGGGGATCAGAAGGAGAAGGGGGATACTTCATTGTATACAACTACGAAAGCATCCAAAAATACTTAAATGAAAAATTATAAACTGATGAAGACTCCATCTCTAAGCAAGCCAAACAGCCATTCTCTGGTCTACAGGATGCTGCCTGAACTCAGGCAGCTGTGTAATACTTTCTACCCAGAGGAGAGTGGGTCACAAAAAGTGGTGGGTCCAAGCACACAAATCCTTCACTGTTGCCAGAAAATAACTGGAAGTGATTTACTCTGAGGCTAGGTCCATCCCATGCCTGAATCCATGCCTATCTACAAATCCATACATGTATGCACATATACTTCAGGCATACAGCAAAAACACGTAGCACCAGAATGCCTGATACATATGCAGCACACACATTGAGGATAACCAATAATGTGTTCTATCAAATGCTTATACAACTGATTCGAACTCAGAAATCAATACCATTGTTTTTAAGTTAAGATGATCTACTATGAATACTTTTAACAAATTATTATCAAAATAACTTAGGTGTGCAAAATCTAAAGATTAATATAAGTTCATTTGGATATCAGTATAAAAGCTAATTTGAAATTTCAACACATTTATATCTTTTGTTCAAGAAGAAATTCTGCTTCCCTTGGTTATCAGGCATAATAAATCCCCCAAATTTGACTTCGCTTATTTAAAAATGATCTACTCTGAATAGGTGAGACAGTTGATTGGCTTGATCTGTTTGGGAGGCATCTAGGCAGTGGTACCAGGTCCTGGGCTCATTGCATGAGTTAGCTGTTTGAAACCTGGGACTTATGCAGGGATGCTTGGCTCAATCTGGGAGGAGGGGACTGGACCTGCCTGGACTGAGTCTATCAGGTCAATCCCAGTCCTCGGGGGGAGACCTTGATCTGGAGGAGGTGGGAATGGGAGGTGTGCTGGGGGGAAGGGGAGGGGGGCAGGAAGGGAGAGAACAAGGGAATCTGTGGCTATTATGTAGAACTGAATAGTATTGTAAAATAAATAATAATAATAAAAATTCAAAAAAAAGTATATCAGGAAATAAAAAAAATAAAAATAAAAATGATCTACTATAGCCATATATTGGGTTTTGAATGAGTGGATTTACTCAGCATATAGCAATCTGTAAAAGTAAAAGTAAAAATAGCAAGTGATATAGCTATAGTTATATAGATAGATGAAAACAGATATACATATATACATATGTATATAGCAAAATACCATCAAAACATCCAGCAGGAATCAATTGGGAAGGCCTTCCTCATTGGGATAATCAGATTGGGTTTTAGAAAGAGTAAGTCTATGGCATAGCCAAGGTCACCTTGGGTGAGACTTCCAAATGAAAGAGGAAAAAAAAAGTAGGGAGGGATACATGTTGGTGAGTGGGGATATGGGAGTAGTTAGGGAGAGAAATTGAGGTTAGAGATATCATATTTCTTTGTCTACCTCTGTGAGAGTTTCAATAATAAAGTAAGAAAAAAGCCACTAAAAAGAACAAATAGTAACAATAGAAACAGAGAGAGAGAGAGATGACATCATCAAATCAGTAGCCCACAATATCCCACAGAAACTGGGAAGTTGAAACAGTAAACTTGAGTTCTGGATTGAGTTTTCCCTCCATGGACGGACTGCCCAAGAGTGAACTGGTTTTTCTTTCCCATTATAGGAGATTTTACAATATGGGCCAAACAATAGTAACTTCTGTTGGAGATGGTTCACCTTCCAGGTCTCCTCAAGGGGACATGATGCCCACACTCTTGGATGGCCTTGTTCTCTCTCTTCCCTCTCAGAATTAGGAGGGGGCAGCTTATTCCAGCAAGAGGACTTGCAGGACACTTTGAGGTCAACATGCTTGGGCTTTGAGCTTGGGGAACAATCTCCCATCTAGAGCCAGCTTCTCAGTGAGCTCAAACAACACTGACAGTTTACCAACATAATGTACATCACACGTACAGTTTTAAAAATAACCATTTTTGTTTATATGCTTAAACCACTCTTCATAATTTTGGTATCTATTGAACTTTTTTTTTATAAGTCAGAGCATTATCATGTACATGTTACATTCTATCATCAATTTTATTATGGTTATGAGGTTTGTATAGGTAATACACTTAATTGCTTTTTCTAAGTCATGTATGTATTAAGGATGCTCCATAATGCCATGGTGTATGGATCGTGCCTTAAACACATTGGGCTTTGGGCGATATTTTAGATCTAAACTAGTATCCATTTTATTCTTACTTTTAAGTTCTGTTGCCATGTAGCATATATGTTTTGTTATCTCTCTCTCTCTCTCTCTCTCTCTCTCTCTCTCTCTCTCTCTCTCTCTCTCCCTATTTATTTATCTATCTATCATCTATCTATCTATCTATCTATCTATCTATCTATCTATCTATCTATCTATCTATCTATCTATCTATATATCATTCACCAGAATGTAAGCTCCTATGTGAAGAAGTTTGTTTTGATCTTTTATTGTATTTGCAATGGTCTATCATGCATAGTAGACAATTTCTAGGAATTGGGTGGTTGGATGGGTCTTCTTGTAAACAGGTTTTCCAGTAGTTCGCTAAATACTTCCCACTTACATAATGTTTACCTTCTACTTGTTTAAAGTTTTATTTTATTATTTTGTGTGTATGGGTGTTTTGCCTGCACGTATGTCTGTGAACCACATGTGTGCAACGTCCCCAGAAGCCAAACAAAGGTGGTGAATTCCTTGGGAGTGCAGTTACAGATAATTGTGAGCACTATCTGGGTGCTGGGGATGGAATCCAGATCTTTTGGAAGAGCAGCCA